GAATGAACGGGTACCTGAGGTTGGGCTTCGTCATGGTCCTGCAAAAGAACAACCCAAAGTGGAACCAAGAGAGCCAAGAAAAATGTTAATCACACTTCCACACTTAAGAACAGAAAACAGCCTAACCATGGTTTCATCCATAGTTCGGGGGTCAAAAACTCGATAAATCAAGCATAATCTGAGTGGGGGTGCACAACCATGAAAAAGTAGGCAACTCAAGGTTCACATCCATAGCAAACACACCCTCAAAGCACAACATTAAGGGCCCCAACCGACCCCCACAAAATGGTACGAAAACAGGCATTTCATCGAACACCTTGTGTGCACTATTAAGGTAAACATGGAATTGACAAAATTCTTGCACACAAGGCCTCAAACAAGCAAGAGGGACATTGCCCAACACAATTCATACATACTCCAAGCATTCCCCTCAATCAATTGCACACAATTCACAAGATTCAACGAGGTTCACAAACATGCACCCTAACACCCAATTCTCCACAAATAACATAGTTAAGGTCAAAATCAAACCTGGAGACTCAAGTAGAGGTGTAGGGGATGATGAGGGGAAGGCAATGGAAGCGACGAAAGGCCGACAAAATGCCCGAAAGTGCTCGTCGGAGTCTCGCCGGAAATCGCCTCCAGCGACTCAAAATCAATCCAAATCACCTCAAAATCGAGGGATAGGCCAATAATGGGGAGGAAAGGGTGGGTTTGGTGTTGGATTTGTGAAAAACCGACCAAAAATGGCCGAAAATCGACAAGGGTGGCGAAAAGTCGCGGTTTTCCGGCGAGGGGGAGAGGTTTCCGGCGAGAGAATTTGGATTTTCTGACCACTCGGCCGTGTCGGCCGAATTTATAGCTCGTGGCTCGGCAACACGGGCAGGCTCACACGGCCGTGTGAGGTGCACATGTGCCCGTGTCGGCCGACACGGGCAGGCCGAGGATTTCCACACGGCCGTGTGAAAAATAGCGAGAGCTCACACGGGCTTGGGGGATTTTCCACACGGCCGTGTCATAATCACAACTGGCCGTGTGAAATTTGTCGAGAGCTCACACGGCCAAACCCATTTTCCACACGGCCGTGTGACTGGCAGGGCTGGTGGTGTGGGCTGCCAGAACTTCGAATGTGACCTGTTTTCACTCCAGAACGACATACAACTCGTGAACAACCTCTCAAGACTCAAAAAAACACGAAAAATCAAAAGGAAAAAGGTAAGAAAATGCAAACCTAGGTGGGGTTGTCTCCCCACAAGCGCTTCTTTACCGTCTTTTAGCTGGACACCAGTGGGTGGATGCTCAGAGAAGTGTAGGATCAGGTGCCTTCAAGAGCGGATCCACATCGCTCTTGAAGTACAGCTTCAAATGGTGGCCATGCACACGACGAATGTGGCCACCAGCATTCGCCAACTCGACTTGGCCATCCGGCAGGATGCAGGCGAGTGAATACTCGGATGGCCAAGGTGGGGGCGGGACCAGCTCGTAGTGGTCTCCGGCCTTCTTTCGAGTAGGCTTAGCTGCCTGCGGTTTCGGCCGCCACTCCTCCTCGATCTGTTCTTTTGGTGACGGAGTGGACGGGAGTGGCGGCGAAGGTATGGGAGGTGGATCCTGCAAAATAGGAAACACAGAAGGATACACGACAGACTCGTGCTCCTGGTGAGATACAACATGCAGAGGTGACGAAGCAGGGAGAGTATTAGCAATTGAAAACGTTATTCGCTCCTCGCCATCCCTCAAAACTAAGGTCCCGTCATGCACATCTATGAGAGCCTTGGCGGTGGCCAGGAAAGGCCTTCCCAGTATAAGAGGCACTTCTGTGTCCTCATTGATGTCCAAGACAACAAAATCCACAGGATAATTGAATTTTCCCACCTTAACCAGAAGGTCTTCCACTATGCCCCTAGGATGCACTTTAGATCGGTCAGCTAATTGAAGGCTCATCCTAGTGGCACGGGGTTCACCTAGACCTAGTTTCTTGAACAATTTATACGGCATAACATTGATACTAGCACCTAAATCCGCCAAGGACCTCTCTACATGCAATTTATCTATAGAGCACGGGATAGTAAAACTACCTGGGTCCTTCTGCTTCTGCGGAAGCTTGTTCTGTAGAATGGCCGAGCACTCCTCGCTAAGCTCCATAGTGGCCAGCTCGCTCAGCTTCTGCTTCTTTGAGAGAAGATCCTTCAGGAACTTCGCATACTTAGGCATTTGAGATAGTGCCTCCAGGAAAGGTACTTGGACATTCAGCTTCCTAAGCATGGCCATGAAGTTCCCGAACTCTGCCTCCAGCCTGTCTTTGTGCAACCGAGTAGGGAAGGGGAGTTGAGGGATATACTCCTTCACTACTGGTTGCGGTTTAGGCGCAGGCACCTCAACCTCCTTCTCTGCTTCTTCTTCAACCGCTGGAGATGCCGAGGCAGGGGCCTCTCTCTCTTGTGCCCGAACAGGTAGATCAGCAGTCATCTTGCCACTCCTGGTTGTGATGGCATTGTAGTGCTCATTCGGGTTCTGCGGATGAGGGATGGTCTGAACGGGCAGAGTACCAGGAGCCCTTTGCGCCACTGCTTGAGCCACGCTCCCCAGCTGGGTTTGGATATCCTGCAAGACAGCCTGTGTGTTCCTCTGGCCAGCTTCAAGAGCCAGTAATTTGCCCGAGGCCTTTTCCATGAACTGCTCGATAGTGTTGAATTTTTGAGCACTAGAACTGGCGAGAGAACCCACCAAGTCCCGCAGTTCAGCCATCTGATCATTCTGCACTGGGGTGACAGGGGCTGCACCTGGCTGCTGGAAAGGTCGCGACTGTGATTGAGCAGAAAGCCCCTGCATGGGCTGGTAGAGAGACTGCTGTGGCTGCTGGAATTGCCCCTGTCTGGGCTGATATAGCGGCCTCTGGAAGCCCGGTGGTCTCTGGGGGACTGGTGGTTTGGAATTTGCCCCACCCCAGGAGAAGTTGGGATGCTAACGCCACCCCTCGTTGTAAGTGTTATTGTAGGGGTCATTGCGCCTAACATTATTGATAAAGTTCACCTGCTCCTGGGGTGTGGTCGATTCCTTCATCGCCTGGCAGTCTTCCACCGTGTGATGGGTGCTCTTGCACCAGTGGCAGAGCATCGCCTGCTGCTGTCCGGTCCCTGGAATCATCCCGGAACGATCGATAGCTGAAACCAGCTTTGATACTACCTGCACCAAATCAGAGGAGTGGGTTCCCACAGAATGTACACCTCGGCCTGGTGCTCTCCTCGACCTCCTAGAAGTGCCCCAATCATACCCGTTCTCTGCCATCCCCTCAAAGAGTTGATTCAGCTGTGGCGGTGTTTTGGTCAGCATGTTCCCGCCACAAACTGAGTCAATCAGCTGCTTGTCTTCTGGGAAGAGGGCGTGATAGAAGGTGCCCACCTTGAAAGCATCATTGAAGCCTTGATTGGGACACCTCAGGAAGAGGCTGTTGTATCTCTCCCAGGCGTCCCGGATGGTCTCATCTTCATCCTGGACAAAGTGGGTAATCTGCTTCTGCAAGTCCGCCGTCTTGGACGGAGGATGGTAGCGGGTAAGGAACTTGTCCGCCAGGTTGGTGAACGTGGTGATGGAGCCCGGAGGTCGAGTGTCTAGCCACTCCTTGGCCTGCCCCTCCAGGGTGAATGGGAAGTACCTCAACTGGATGGCATCTGCTGGGACCCCATTAATCTTGAGATGTGATCGGGGGCACTCCCCCTCCTTGCCTCGGAACACCACCGAACTGCGCAGCATAGTGATGACGGAGGTGCTCACCTCGAAATTATTTGCTGGCACATGAGGGTGTTGAATGGGTGACCTCATGTCCGCAGCCCTGGCGGTCCAGTAGTATCCCATGGTCTGTTCCTCTGGAAGGACCGCATCATGGTCCTGTGGATCCCCCATCTCTTCTTCTTCAGTGATCTGCAGCTGTGCTAGCTCTTCCTCCGCAGCCAGTCGCGCCTTTGGAGCCCGCTTGAAGTTCCTGCAGGTTCGTTCAAGCTCCTGGTCTAATGGTAGTAGATCTCCCGACTGGCTACGGGCCATGCACTACCTGCACACAATCAGTAGAAGCAACCCGTGAAGGTACACAGGTGGAAGAGATAAAATGCAGTAAAGAAAAAGCTAGAGTAACAAATTTTCACGTTTCCCCAATAACCTAGAGGCTCCCTGGCAATGGCGCCAAAAACTTGATGCTCTAAAACACAACACCAAACTGCGACCAAGTATAATCGCAGTCCGGGAATGCAGTAAAGTGGCAAGTTCTATTATCGACCCGGAGTCTAGATCTACTGCTTACTCAGTGATTATCTGTTATCTAGCCAACTAAGTCAAGTGATTGTTGTTTTAAGCAAAAGCAGTAAGAAAGCAGGAATTGGTACGGTTTTCTCAAGCAAAGAAGAGTCGCTCGGGAATGAGTCCCCCTAGCTCCTTAGTTAGGTTTCAATTGTAATTTCCCTGGGTTGATTTACTGTTGATTAGACTGCGGAAGATCCGACAGTAGCTTGGAATCTCTTAAGTTGACCAAGCCCTCTCAGTCTAACTACCCGGCAGACGACTAGTCTTCACCGGGATAGAAAGCTGAAGCAATAAGCACAGAACTCCACTACTGGAATTGGATTCCAGTACAAAGTAGTAAACTGGCTAACTCTCGTATAGCCAATCTCCTACTACCGAATGATGAAGCTCTAACAACCTAATCAGATTCTATCTATCTCAGGTTGCAGCCGAAATCAAGAAAAGCTGATCAGACTTCAATCAATTCAATAAACATGCATCATTCGATTAAAATCAAACAGTATAATCATCCCAAGTCATTACAATCAAATCCCTAACACATGGAACTAGGGTTCTTCATACCCAAGTGAGAGAAGGGTTCTACTCCATAGAGAGAGAGAGAGAGGAAAACAGAATACAAAGCAGTCATACTCATAACAATGGGAAGAATCTGCTCTGGGATGATGATTTCCACTCCTATGACGATCTCCAAGCTCGATTTGATGAAACTCAGCTCAAAGATAGCTTCTAGGATGTGTTCTTCGTACTTTCTCTCTCTAGGGCTCTGTTTTTGCTCTGAAAATCCCATTCTCTCACTTGCAGCCCGAAATTGGGTAACAACCAGAAATTCCCGACTCACATGGGCAGGCCACACGGCCGTGTGAGATACCCAGTTGCCCGTGTGAGATCAAAACGCCGCGTTTCCAATAATTGCACTTCAGGCTACCTACACGGTCAGGGCCACACGGCCGTGTGGCTCACCCTGTCTGCCCGTGTGAAGCCTCGCAGAATCCCACACGGCCACAATGCAACTTCACACGGTCGTGTGGGTTTTATTCCAGCCCGTGCGAAGGCTCGCAGAATCCCACACGGCCAGATTGGTTACTTGCACGGCCGTGTGGGTTTTGTGTGTGCCCGTGTGGCTTCCTCAGTGACTCGCCGCGTGTCCGATCTTCGTCCAATCGACCCCGAACTCGCTCCTAAGCCTTCATTCACTTACTAGGACCTGAAATATCACAAACAAGCACAACCTAGCGTGAAATCGACCTAAAACACGAGAATCAACACCTCAAACGGCTCCAGAATAGGGGTAAAAACATGTGTAATTAATGAGTCATCAGCATCCACACACTAGGCGGTCGGTTCGATGGGGTGGATGAAACACCCTAACCCGGTCGGGTACTACTTTTACTAAAATGCCCTTGAAAATAAAATAACCAAATCTTAAGTTTCAGCGGGAAAATTTTCATAATAAAATACTGAAAACACACGCTTGTAGTTCAAAGCAAAGCCCTAACAACTAACAAGTGGGCAAACTCAATACTAAAAATCTCAAAATGATCTCCAGTCTGTACTCATAATCATAATTGTAAATAACTAATAAGCTCTAAAGTTGTTGCTACTGAAAACCTTGACTAAGCATCCTCCGTGACGCTTATAATGCTCTCCTCTAGCTGGCTGCCCTCGAACTCGCTGCTCACTAACTGCTTCTCTAGCTGCAACTATCGATCTAGTTCTTGCTTATTCCTTTACGAAGCCCTGGTGAGTGAGATGGGGTAAGTCTACGCCCTTACGTTTTAATAATTCTAATACTTGAGTACTTTACTTAAACACTTAACTTTGACTAGTGGAAGTTGTTTGTACTTCCAATCTTAAAATCTTAACTCTTAAACTTTGAGGGAGTTGAAGTTACTCTCCTCTCTTAAAGCTCAAATCTTGACTTAAATACTTGACCAACACGGGGATCCCTCACTAGCTAGTCCGGTTGCCAACTCATACGTATGAGAAGCCATCCAGGCTTTCCTTAAACTTAAACTTAGTTAGGGGAGTCGTAATGATTCATCCCCCTAACATCTTAAACTTAGTTAGGGGAGTCGTAATGATTCATCTCCCTAACATCTTAAACTTATCGTGGTGGCTCTTCACCACGATTCTCAAGAGCATAACTGCTGCTCAAACAAGAGAGGGGAGAGAGGATCACCTTGTCGTAGCCCTCTGGAGGGAGTGAAGTAGCCGGAAGGGGTACCATTCATTAGAACAGAAAATGATGATGATCTGAGAAATTCATATATCCATCCTTGCCAGACAGAGTTAAAACTCATCTTATCCAAAACCGCAAGAAGAAACAACCATTCAACTATATCATAGGACTTTTCCATGTCAACCCTTAGAGCCATGTACCCTTTCTTACCTCGGGTTTTGATTTTTAGGTAATGCATTAACTCATGTCCAAAGAGGATATTCTCAATTATCTATCATTCCCTGATGAACGCATTTTGACCCTCCGAGATGATATGTGGTAGGAGACAAGCAAGCCTCTCATCCATGATCTTGGTTATAACTTTATAAACAAACTAACATAAGCTTATTGGACACAATTGCCTCATAGTCTCCACATTATCCATTTGTGGTTAGCTAAGTGTGGTTAAAACTCCAGAGCATCCTACTCATCGTAAAGAAAGATCAGACCACCTCAATCACCAAAGTGCGTACAATATCCCCGAAAGCCTTACAGAATTTACCCGTGAAGCCGTCAGACCCCGCTGCCTGCTTCAAACCCATTGAAAGACTGTTTTCCGTACTTCACTGGGCAGAACCTCCAACTTCAAATTAGCATTCATTTCTGGAGTAACACTGCGAGAAATGGGGAGAGTTGCCACCCTATCACCCATATTTGGGACTTGAGACTCAGAGGTAAAAAGTACATGATAAAAATCACTAGCAATGGCTGCTTTCCCAGTTTCCTCAGTGACCCATTCACCATTATAATTGCGAAGGCCGGAAACAAAATTCCGTTTACGACTAGCTCTCGTAACCGTAAGGAAATAGGAAGTATTTTTATCCTCTTTTTTCAACCACCGGACCCTGGACTTTTGCTTCCAGTAGATCTCCTCCGCCTCCCATTGGCGATTAAGCTCAGCCTCCAGGGGTCTAATCGCATCCCATTCAATTGGATAGATCAATTTAATCCGATCAATCTCCATCTTTAGTGTTTTAATGTTACGCAGAGAGTTCGTAGTGCCCGCCCTCCAATCATAAAGCAGATGGCGTAGCTTCTTAAGGCGTTCCCAAAGTCAAAACATAGGGTACCCTGAATATCCTCTTGCCAAACATAGCTCACCATGGACTTGACCTCCGGATTATCGACCCAGCGGGCATCAAAGTAGAATAAGGGGCGACTATTACGAGCATATTTCTTGCCAGAGAGGAGAAGGGCACGATGATCTGACCCCTGGTCCGTAAAATGCTTAACTAAGGTCTCTGGGAATTTATCAATCCATGACTGGGAGCAAAGAAGCCTATCCAGTCGTTCACGAATGCAAGCTGCGACCATTCGTTTGTTTGTCCATGTGTATTGATCACCATGATAACCTGGACCGTGAAGACCCAAATCTTAAACAAAGTCACGTAAGCTATGAGACTGGGCAACATTCCATGATAGACCATCATCCTTTTCACTCTCATGTAGAGTAGTATTAAAATCACCTACAAGAACATAAGGTTGGTGGATATTTTCACAAATTCACGCAGTCGAGCCAATTGAATAGCTCCTATTGGAACATTACAGAGAATGTAAACAAAAATGAGGACATAGGAAAAATCCAGTTCATTAACTTGTGTACAAATACAGAAGTTGGAATGAAAAAACACCGAAGCGTCTACTCCGGGGGACCAAGCAACTGCTAAACCTTCAGATGCATCAATCGCATCAACAAAGAAACAATGAGAATGATGAAAACCTAACCCCCGCATACGATGGGTCACTACTCTCTAGATCGATCGTGTTTCCAAGAAAAACACGAGATCTGGTTTATTTGAATGAACTAAACCGACAGTTGTTTGGAATGTGAGTGATGGCCTAATTCCCCTCCAATTCCAGTCTATAAGCCTCATTTATCACTCGAGGCCATTCGAGGCTGGCTTCCTCCACCTTATTTTCAAGTTCAGCTGACTCCACGAATTATTTTTTCGGAGTAGGAAGGTCTCCCACATCACCTTCCATCTCATCCAGCGCACGTTTCCGATTTCCAATTACTGGGTCCAGTAAATTAGAAGCATACTCTTTCGGCTGGGAGGTTGACCCCTTGCCTGGTTCTTGACGATGTCCCCGAAGAGCATCCTTCTTAGGTTCACCAGCCGGATTCGATGGAGAGTCTCCCTCCTCTTTATCAATGATCAGTCTCGCCTCAAAAGCCATCACTACTTGGTTCACACGACCTGTCGTGAATTGGCAAGATCGTTTGGAAGCAGCAGTTGGCGAGCGTCGTTTGATTTCAAACAAGGGCTTCTCTGTTGGAGAATAGTAGCCGTCTGAGTCCAAGGCACACTCAAGCATGCCAAGGTCAGAATCAGCCAAGGCCTCCTCATTATTTCGGTCCGAGCATGTCCTCCTATTGTCAGAATGCTCGCCACTTTTTTTAAAACGACAACTCAAATTTGGCGGACAATTGGCTGCGAGCTTCTTCAGACGCATACTAGCCCGATGAGCAGGATCTTGCTACAAGGCCTCCTTTTGTGTGGATGCATGATCAAATTCCTGCACTTTGCCTGCTTCTTGCCCCCTCGGGAAGCACCAGCTTTGTTCGAGCCCTTCTTAGGGCGTACACGGACATCACGTGGCAGCCGTGGCTGCATGGGAACTTCGTGCGGTTTCGACACATCCACAACCGCTTTACCACCATCGTGATCAATCTCCTCCTCTGATTCATCTGCCAAGATGAGGCGGCAACGACGAGCCTACGCTAGGATTTCAACATCGTGGGTAATTTCCTCCCGTCGTTGAGGAGCACGCCTGGAACGACGCCCAGCTAGAGAAATTCTACATGGTCCCTTTCCAGATTTGTTGGACGGCGCCCATGGTGACCTCTTCCCATGCAGCCTATGTACACCAGTTCCCATTTTGAGTCGTGGCGAGCTATTGAGAGTAAAACCCTTGGGGCTGCCACGTCGCCCAAGAGGTTTGTCGCCGAGGTATCTTAACCTCGGTTTGATCACCTGACAGAGGTGTTGCATGTCATCTTCTTCAGCTGGACTCTGTCGCCCCTCCATGTCACGTTCCCGAGCCACACCACCACTCCCTTCTTCTTTTCCACGAGTGCTCCGATTCACCCAAACCAATTTTCGGTCCTATCGAAAATTTGGGCCCTCCTCTTCATCATCATAGAGTTTCCTGCCGAGTTTCCTTGTGGACACGTGCAATCCAAAACGCTCCTTCCCCGGTGGGGGATCGAAAGCACAATCACGCTTTGTTTGTCCCACCCGCCCACAATAGTAACAGAAGCTCGGTAAGAACTCATATTTCAGGCTAACCCATAAGCAACCAAGCTCTTCACTAGCCGTCATGAGTTGGGAGTGAAGAGGCTTTGTAAAGTCTATACGTGCTCGAACTTTCACAAAGCACTCGTTAGTGTCTTTGGAAGCGAAGACATCTGTCTCCAAGACCTTCTCGATAGTGCCATTCGCCAATTTGTGGCCAAACTGCTTAGTACATCATTCATCTTTCACGTTCCAGAGTTGTACGCGAAACGGCGTAATGGCCAATTCCTCAAAGGTATGTTTGGTGATCTTGGGTGTCCAGGACCGGAGAAGGAGGATTTTGTCTAGTAAAATCCGCGGAGTTTGTTTAAGGACCCAGATTCTTGCCTCTTCACTCGGTAGAACAATCTTGAGAAGGCCATGCTTTTTCATTGACATGCGGAGTTGTCCCTTCACTTGCCAAGGGGCGATTAAAGCATCCTTGGCTCCATTGGGGTTAATGATGGTATCGGTGAACAACCTTCCCTGAAAGGATAGTTATACCTATCTGATTCTTAGTTGATTAGCCGTGTTTGGCTTTAGGGGTTTCTTTGTCTTTTCCCCTTTTAGCCGCAGGTCTCTTGTAACCCTAGGAAGACTAGTTGATTAGGGTTATATATATTTGCTGTAAGTGTATCGGCTAAACCTAAGAATGAATAAGCTGAGATAGCACAATTTCTCTGTGGAGTAAGCTCATTCACATCGAATGAGAAGAACCACGTAAATATCGTCTCGTGTGTTTGTGTTTTGCGTTCTACAAATATTTCATGGTATCAGAGCTGGTTTATTAAAACCTAAGATTCACAATGAGTGGCATGGACTCTGATGGCGGCAGTCGTGATCTAGTCAACCCTAATGGCGGCGGAGGAGGTGGTGTCCCAACTTTTGGTCATCCCTGCTGTGTTGCGGATCCAAGCTTCAGACAATCCCGGCCAATTGTTCGTTGGTGAGTGATAGACCGTTAGTTACACATGT